AGTTTTGTTTAAAATAATTAGAGTAATTATTAGTATATATTACTTAAATGATTAATTTAAAAAATGATAACTCAAAACACTGAAAGCAAAAAAAGTGAAAAGAAGAAAAACTGGTAAACAAAATAATTATATTGGGTTGATTAAGTTAAAAAAATGAGCAAAACCACAATGAGAATAAATTGGAGCTATATGCATATATGCGCTCACTTTGGGAGCTTAGAACAATACCCTTATGTAATAAATTGAACCAGCCAAATGAAGAAGCTGCTCCCCTTAGTTTCTTCAACCATCCAATTTTTCAGCTTTTCAAACTCAACAAACTAATTTTAAAAGACATTTACCAAACATTATTATTAGCTTCTTTGACTAATCAAACAGCTGAAATGGGTCAAACAAGCTAAAAGCTGGCTGATAAGCCATTTGCCAAAACATACACATACAAGTTTCATACTTTAGTACTTACCTCACACGAGTTTAATGCACTAAACATCCTTGTGATATATAAATTCAGCGCATTAATCACTTGTGATTTAAAAAATGCATCAAACTTTCGGTGTTATAATTATCCATTCGCAAAACCCCCTCCGAGAATAAATTTAACAATTTGAAAATTGCCTGTCTTAATATTATCATTGAATATGTAAGTAAATTTGTCAAGATCTCTAAATTATACAAAAATGTTAATCATTTTCATTTACTTGACAATTAAATTAATTCTGAGAGAATTTTGTGCATGGATAATTATAGGGAAAAATAATTAAAATACTCCAAACTTTGAAGAAGTGTGAGATAAACACCCCAAACTTTTATATGTAATTTAAATACCCCAAACTTTATATAAAAAGTTGTTTTAGCACCATGATCATATATTATTTTTTTTCAAAAATGTAAATTTGTGATGTTAATTGCATAATTTTAAATATAAAAAATAAAAATGATGCAATTGTATAGAGTGGGGGTAGTATTATTTATTTTATAATGAAAGTTAAGAATGCTAATTGTATCTTCATGAATGCTAAAATATTTTAATTTGTGAAATTAACACCAAAAACTAACATTTTTTGAAGAAATAATATATGACCATGGTGCTAAAATAACTTTTTATATAAAGTTTGGGATATTTAAATTACATATGCAAGTTTGGGGTGCTTACCTCACACCCCTTCAAATTTTTGGGTATTTTAATTATTTTTCCCATAATTATAAAACGAGAGTTTGACTCACTTTTAAATACAAATGACTAATGCAACAAATTTATATATCGCAAGGACTTTGGTACATTAAACCATGCTACACACCAGGGTCGGTCCTGATATAGGGGCAGGATGGGCGGCTGCCCAGGGCCCACCAGGAAGAAGGGCCCATAAATTATTTAGGAGTAATATATAGATTGAGTCTTGTTCACCTCGGGCCCACAAATCTATTTGAGATGCTTTCGGATGAAATTGTTTGATAAAAGTTTGCGAGTATGTTTTTCATTAAGTGTAGATTAGGTCAAAAAAATGTCAACTCAAAATTCAATCACAAAATCTGTTAAATAAATTATTGAAAAACAATGTGCTTTATGTATGTTTAAATATCGCAATGTTTTTAATAATTTATTTAACTAACTTCTTAATTGAATTAGAAATTGAAATTTTGTGTAAATAATCTAATCTCTATGAAGAACATGCCCACAAAAATTTATTAAAAAATTTGACCAGATCATTTTGTCAAGTGCGCCTGACCAAATCATTTCCTTATACTCTAAATCTCTAATACTCCGTAAAAGATACCCCTCAATCCTCATATCCGTAGACTGAGCCACAACGACAGAGCTACACACGAAACACAACTAGATGACTTTCTACCTTCCTCACAAAAGCCGAGAATTTAAAATTAAAATTTTCTTTTAACAATGCCTAAAGAATTGTTTTGTATGGCTTATGATACCAAGTATTTTTTAGGAACAAAAACATTTACTTGTGTAATGAATTTTATTTTTGACTTGAAGCTTTTGTAATACATTTCAATAATATACGGAATATATAATTAGGGGCCTATTTTTTGTCTTTTGTCCAGGGCCTATAAATTGTCAGGACCGGGCCCTGCTACACACATTAGATTTTTAAATTATTTCTCTCTTTATTAAAAAACATTTGAACTACTGTGTGAGACTGTGAGTGCGTGACTAGTGACCAAGGACATACTTGTCCAGCTAAGACCCAAAAAAGAAAAAAGAAGTGCGCAGAGCAGAGGCGATCCAGGTTTTTCTCTTTTTCTCCGCTCCATCTTCAGTCTTAGCTGCTTCAACTTCCAACTTCCTCAAATTTTCGCAGACAGAAATTGTGTGTCATGTTTCGATCATTCAGATATGAAACGCATTTAGTAGTTTCTTGATCCCATATGAATATGGGATAGTGGGATTCCAAATCTGAAACAGATCTTTAATTAGACCCATTTTCGACCCGTTTTTCTGAATAATTCTTATTTATCAGTTTGTTCTTCTCCTATTACTGCATCAAAATGTTTGTATTTTAATTTTCTTTCGTTTCTCCGATATTGCTGTGTTGTAGGCCTTATTCATATTTCAATTCTGTTGATTTGGGTCCTAGATTGTGGTTTCTGGGGGTGAAAGGAATGATGGGTCGGTCTTCGGGTTGGGCTCCAAGAAATGCGGGTTTTAGGGCGGAGAGTTTAGGTCAGGATGCACTCTCTATGATGAGGAACCTGGGTTTCACTGTATTTGTATCTGGGGTGTTGATTTTCACTATAATTGCGGCTACTTATCAACCTGAAGACCCACTGTTTCATCCTTCTACTAAGATGACTAACTTTCTCACATCAAAATCAAATGCCACATTCAAATCTGATGACACCGTGGTCAAGACCGGGGAAGACTTCATCGGTCCCAACCAGACTGCATTTTCCAGTTTTATTAACCTTACTGATGTTGATATCGCAATGCCCGTTACCGAGACCGGAAATGATCTCGAGTGCCAAGGGAAAACTGATGAATCGATTAACTGTCGGGACCCAGACGTGTTCCATTTATTGATGAAAGCCACTATCGAGAAATTCAAGGATGTACACTTTTACAAGTTCGGGAAGCCTGTCCCTGGCTCGGACCGAAGCTCCTGCCACATGGCATGGAGGTTTAGGCCCAAGGAGGGAAAGACCGCTGCGTTTTATAAAGACTACAGGAATTTCGTGATCTCCAGGTCAGAGAATTGCACACTTAGTGTGGTCGGGATTGGGGAATACCATTCCGGAGGGAATGCCAGGAAGAGAAAAAGAAATCACAAGGTGGGAGTGCCGGATAAAACAGGGAAGTCGGATGAAGGGTTTGAGAAGGCGCCGAGTGAGACGGTGGGCCAGGGAGCTGCCATTGCTCTTCCCGTAGTGGGGGAAGCCGTGAACGACTCCCTCCCGATTGTGGAATCAGAGAGCTCATTTGGCCGGGGAAAGTATTTGGTTTATTCCGGCAGCGGTGATAGGTGCAAGAGCATGAACCATTATCTGTGGAGCTTCATGTGTGCACTGGGTGAAGCCCAGTTTTTGAATCGGACCTTCGTAATGGACCTAAGCATATGTTTAAACAAGATGTATACCTCGTCTGGACAAGATGAGGAAGGTAAAGATTTCAGATTTTATTTTGACTTCGAGCATTTAAAGGATTCAGCTTCCGTCCTTGACCAGACTCAGTTTTGGGAAGACTGGAACAAGTGGCACCAGAAAGACCGGCTGACTCTCCACCTAGTCGAGGACTTTAGGGTTACCCCGATGAAGTTATCCAGTGTAAAAGATAGTTTAATCGTGAGGAAATTCGGAAACGTGGAACCAGATAATTACTGGTATAGGGTGTGTGAGGGTGAGACGGAGTCGATTGTTCAACGCCCATGGCACTTGATTTGGAAGTCAAGGAGGTTAATGGACATAGTTTCTTCAATCGCGTCGAGGTTGAATTGGGACTATGATTCTGTCCATGTCGTGAGAGGCGAAAAGGCCCGAAACAAGGAATTGTGGCCTAATCTTGGACGGGACACCTCGCCGGAGGCCATCATGTCATCATTGAAGGACAAGATTGAAGAGGGGAGGAACCTATATGTGGCGACCGATGAGAGCGACGTGTCATTTTTCAACCCTCTGAAGGACAAGTACTCGACCCATTTTCTAGACGAGTACAAAGACCTTTGGGATGAGAACAGTGAGTGGTGGTCGGAGACGGCGAAGCTTAACAGTGGGAATCCCGTGGAGTTTGACGGGTACATGAGAGTGTCTGTCGATACGGAGGTTTTCATGAGGGGTAAGAAACAGGTTGAGACGTTTAACGATCTGACTAAGGATTGCAAGGATGGGATTAACACGTGCTGATTTCCATGTTTAGGGAAAATTTTGTTTCTGTTTGTTTGGCAGTACAAAAGCGCATCTGGAGCCGCTTTCTTCCTTCTCAATCAGGGGAAGAAAAATAAGAAGGAAAAGTTTAGAGTATTTCCTTTTTCGCATTGTGCTGTTTGTAGTTTGTACGACTTATAATTTCCCTTAGGTGATTAGCACATAATTTGTCGACTTTTTTGTTTATATATCATCATTATCGTTTTGTTTGAGACATAAACTTGGTCTTCCATTTTTATTTTGTTGACGGGTTGTAAGTTTGTAACACTTCTCACGAGTCACGAGTTTTTTAATGTTTAAAAAGCATTTCATAATAATAATGACAAATTTGGGGAAGTTTTATCTTTCTTTCAGAAGTAAAAACAGAGATAATATTAGTGAATAACTGTATGCAAAGAGAGCAAGAGACTTCATTTTCTGGACGTGGCCTGTGACATAACTCGTTAATGAATAATGAATGCTAAAGCATAAAGGGAAACAACAGTAATAATTTCCACACGTCTAACGTAAGGAAATGCACAATACGTAAGGAAATGCACGATACGTTATTCCATGAAATAACAGTAATAATTTCCACATGTACGTAAATAACGTATTGTGCTTTTCCTTGTGATAGGACACTAAACTTGGTGATTGGTGACACAATTTTAAATTGTTCTCACTGTTTTTAAAGAACACACACTCTTAAGTTATTTTAATTAATTAATACAATTAATTAGCACTGTTAATTTAATACCACCTATCCAAACTAGTTGGGATTAAAGTACTGATGATGATGATGATGAAAATGTATATACAAGTTATGATGACCCGTCACTCCTAAGTCCTAAAGAACGCAAACATTCGCCAGAATGCCATATGATCTGGTGATAGGTTAGCGGTCAATCACGTTCATACATGTTTCTTTCAAACGAAACAATTGTCTTCCCCTGATAGAGAGATGCCCTACATCTATGTGGCATTAGCAGAAAGTGACATAGGACTCCATCTTCAGATTCAAATCTACCATCCATAGAGGCACATGTCATCATCATCCTAATGGTTGGGAGAACAATTCCTCCTTTAGAAAACATCACCTTGCATCATCCATCTAAACCGCTAGGCTGTACATAATGACTTCCATAAACTGCTCACATCGGACAAGTTCCCGCGCCGTCTTCATCGCATCTGTGAAGTCGCATGACGGAGTTCCTGCAGATTGGGCAAGTGACGCTCAAACACCTGAGCCACTTCTCAAGACAACCTGTGGAAAATGTGCCCACACGATAACCAGTTTATCTTAGAATCCGTTTCAAACTCAGCGAAGCACACACAACAGCAGTCAGCAGCAACCAGGTTTTTCTTCTTCTGCACCCGAAATGCAAACCAAGTCATAATGGATTGTTGGGGTTTGGCTCCAGAATTCTTCCATGTCGGACTCCGGGGGAGAAGCCTGAGATTCTACAATTGTGTCTTCCATGGTGGTGATGGGGTACTCTTCCCGTGGTGCTTCTATACAAATGCCTATAACATTGAGGAATGAGGATAGATTGGGCCAATTCCTTGACGGTGGATATAGAGATGGCCGTGTTGAAAAGGATTACACATACAGCTCCACCATCTACTGGGTTAAGATACGGTGAGAGACCCATATTTGAATTTCAACCTATTAATTGCAGCAAACAAAAACTAGAAGCAAATCAATGAATAAGAAAAAATGGTCGGTAAAAAAGCACAAGCACTATATACAAAAAAAAATCACCTGATTAGATTGCACATTGGCTAGAGTAGATATATATTTAAAAGAACTTCAAACTATATATCTGCAAAGCAAACATCAAATTATATTAAACAGAAGTTTACCAATTAAACATGAACCAAAACCCCTCTCAAGAAGCAAAAGAACTATTTACTTTCAAGATATAATTTATTTTATTTACACATCATACCCTGATTTTATAGATAACTAAAACACACATGCAGAAAGAAAGAGATGAAAGCTCGCATTTTTGTGCAAAACAGAACAAATTCATAACGAAAAAAAACCTTTGATTCAAGATACATGAAAGAAAGTGCGCTTCTCTTCCAATTATGTGCGTGTATGTATAAAGAAAATACCCAGAAGAAAGAAAAACTCATAAAACTCACCAATTACATCAAGTGCAAAAGAGATGACTGAAAATTCAGATAAGAGAATAGAGCACACTACTTCCCATGTGAAACTCAAAGCAATAAAACAAGCTTTAAGACCACACAATGTAAAAGCAAAGGTTTGTGAGAATTCCACAAAAGCGGGGGGAAACAAAAGAAAAAGCACATGAGGAAGCAATAAATTGAGTGGTCGGCATTAGGTAAGTATAGTAGGAAACTTGGAAGAGAGGACTAGCTCGCTTTCTAAATAAAATATGACACCCCATCCCTGAGGCTCCCCAGAACCGACCAGACAGTAATTTGATGGAAAGAGAGTGAGTTTCCATCCAAGTCATTTCTTGAAGTTGAACCCGAGACTTCTCCCTTGTGGCACCCTCTTCCGACCAGGTGAGCTACGCCCCTCGATGCTTAGCTCGCTTACTCAGCACAACACTAGTGGGATACTATGGTTTACTGTATGAGCAGACCAACAAGAGTTTTTTTGGAGAAGATACACAGCTTCAGAGCTTCCTGAAGCTTTAAATAAAATTAAGATAAAAGATATTTTGAAAAAAATAATACCAAGAAGTATTGACAACAAGAACATGATTTTGATGAGATCTTTATTTTTTTATTGATATACTCCCCCCGTCCCTTAAAATTTTGTCAAGTTTGACAGGCACGACCCACGAGGATTAATAAAGTAAAAATTGTATGATTAAGGTTTGTGCAAATTAGAGAGAAATAACTGGAACCACAAATTCTTTACTTAAGAGGGAAAGTGGCAAAATTAGTGTGACAACAAAAAAAGGCAAGTTGACAAAGTTTTAAGGGACGAAAGAAGTATTAAAATTACAATTTATTCTTGATTTTTTTATAAATCTCACGAATAAAATATGATTAAAATTACAATGAGTCTACCTTTATGATCACTAGGGCGTAGGCATGGACCCGGGTCGGTCCAGTCCCGGTTCCGGGCCGAGACCACCCGGTCCCTGCAAAACATGGTCAAGCCTTGGTCCAACCCGTGTAATTACCGCATAGTATTGGACCCGGTTCCGTACTGGGCTGGACCGCCGAACCGGGTCCATGCCTACTAGGGCGTAATAATTGTAAATAATAACATTAATCAAAAGTGACTAAGTCGCATTTTTAACTTTTATGCTCATTGTGGTTCTAAATCATTTGTGTGGTTCTAAATCATTCTTACTTTACCAATTCAATATCAACTACATAAATTCACTTTTCTTAATAACCGCACCTCCTCCTCATGTCCCAATGTTAGTGGGACGGAGGTAGTAATATACTTCCTCCATACCAAATTGAGTCGCAAAAATGACTTTTTGACGTCAAACAAATTCATTTTATACACTTAATTAGGATATTAATTCTTACTTAAATTTTAATTTGGACTTCCCAACTATATTGAAATTTTAATGTACTTCTGAATATGTAAATTGTACTTATTAAAATTGAATTAATTGTCAATGGGGATGATTTAACTTTAACATTAGTCGACCAAAAAATGTTAACTTTGCAAAACAATTTGGGACGGAGGTAGTTAATATTATTTCTAAAATATATATTTTTTAAATTTATTTTGTAATTCAATTATAAAATATGTTTTTTTTAAATTTTTTTTGTAATTCAGTTACAAATATGATTTTTTTAATGAGTTAAACTTACTAATGTTCTCACTTAATTACGTCGCTTAGAACATTAATATGTATAAGGTGTCTTCTTATAATAAAAGGTGTCTTCTTATAATAAAATATAATAAGGTTTTCTCACTTAATTACGTCGCTTATATATGTTCTTAAATTAATATAAGGTGTCTTCTTATAATAAAATATAATAAATGTACAAAGCACATTTTTTTATTCAAGCGTTCAACCCAAATTGGAAACTGTATTGTACATAACGGGAACTGGGAAGGATAAAGCACATTTCCCCCCCAATTTTATTTTATATATATGATTTCTTTTTATTTCATTTTGTTCTAACAATTGTTTTGTATGTTCCCTTGACTTCATTGAATACTTCAATGCCGACATGGTATAAAAACATATAGTTTTGTTCAACCTGATTTTTCTGCTTATAAATTCCTTATTTTAGTCTAAAAAAACAAGAACATCATACCAAGAAAGACTAGAAAGATTCACATCTAACCAAACTAAAAAAATAGACTAGCTGTCATCTTGCAGCCAAGAACATTAGACGGGGTAAGAATACACTCGATGATGCTAGAAAGATTGAGATCAGACCTGAAAGATTGAAATCAACGCAATGTAAATCAACACACTGCATCCTATAACATAAAGGATTAAAATCAACGCAATGTAAATTTTTCAGAGTAAATCAACACAATCCTATATAGAAGAGACAGGAGGAAATATAAGATAAAGCAATGCAATCCTATCAGAAGTCCATGACAGTGCTACAATCCTATGACATCCTAAAGATATAACTAATATTGCAAACAATGCTAAGGTTCCCAAGCTAACTTTGGAATCACAATAAAACAGAGGAGAACTAAAAATGTAACACTGATTTTATTCGGTTCTAAGAAAGAGGAACAAAAATGAGGTAGCAACGGCCATGAAGTTACTAACAAAACAACACATAGCAGAACACAGTTAATCTCAATGGAAAAATGAAGTAAGTTACAAGGGTCTACTTGGATTGGGCTTCATTTCATGTATAACAAGACATCAGAGTATTAACACTGGATACTATGGTTTGTAATAGAAAAACGGAATGATAACATATATACTGATACAAATTAAAATATAATCGAAAGCAACCATAGATAGTAGCAGCGAAAAGAAAAATAACCTTACACAGTGCAATAATCCTGCAAAAGCTGCCTAGCAAGGTCCAAAGCCCCACTTGCCTTATAAATATGGTGAAGGTTGTACGCTGCTTCCCTACGAAGGTTGCAATAACCAGCCAACTTTTCGGTTCGGTGTGCATGCTGTTGACTTTCATCATATCCAAACCTTGGAAATGGGCAATCCTTCACAGGAGTCCTTAGCACCTCTTCATAGTAAGAAGCTGCAATAGTGACGAGCCCCACAAGCTGATATGCCCGTGCTATGTTGTACAAGGCTTCTTGGCGGATATCGCTCTCCTTCTCAGATAGCCTCAAATTGTTGTACAGAAAAGCCAGCCCTTGTAACACACATTCATGCTTACTCTTCAGCCTAATATCTGATGCTAAGTTAATCAACGCAGTTCCTGCGCAAAGATTAATTAAAGGGCAATTGGGTTGAAGTTTGCAAGCTTCCAGGTACTTCCTAGCTGCTACATGGTACTGATGGATGTTACCAAACTTATGGCCTTCGATGATGATAGACGGGACACAAGCTGTCCGTTGATTGTGAATGCGTTTTTGTCTTTTTCTTGAGGGGAGGGTCTTGTCTACTTTTGATAGTGCTTTATAGTAGTAACTCCATGTTTCCATTTTAGAAGGGTGTTTAAGAAGGATAGACTTCAGGAACTTGCAGCTGCGCATTGTGTCTTGGACTTCACATGCCACCTGGACAGCGACGGTTGTAATACTTTCCCTTCTTTCATCTGACAATATGTTGGAAGCAAATCTGAGCGTAAGTATGCCAACGTCAAATGCCTCTTCGTATCTTCCTAGAGATGCAAGAGCTTTGGCCAAGTCCACAAAAAGTTGATGATTCTCTGTGTCTTTTAGGAGTTTGGGTGTTGGAGATTTCTTCTTGTGCAACGGTACCCGAGATTCTGAATCTGAGCCTGGATCTGAATCTTCGCCCATCAAATCCATACCAGCGGCTAGAGATCGTCTTTTCTTTTCATCTTTCAATGAAGATCTCTTCTCGAGTACCCTCTTTGCTCTCATGGCCTTTTGTCTATCCTCTACATTAGCCACAGGTTTAAAACCTAGGACTAGATCGTCAGTTTGATCAGCGTATAACATTTTGGCTCTTTCTTGATGCACTCTCTCAGGGAGCTTTTTATTCTTAGCTGCCATTTTTGGAGGTTCAAAGGTAAAAGCCTGACAAACCAAGGGATAAAATGTGTCAACGAATTCTCCAATCATATCTTTATCTCGGTAGATGTTGGAAAGCTTAAGTTGCACTTCCACATCATTCCACCATTCATCACTTTGTATATTGTTGTTGTTGTTGATGATGTTGTTATTGTTACATATGGTTTTCAACTCAACCCCTGGATTTGGGGGAGAAAGAAGAAATATGGCTTCTACGTCTCTACCTCTCTCAAGAAGAAGTGAAGCTAAGGTAAGCCGAGTCTCAACACCATGTTCAAGTAAAGGTAGAGCTTTGTAGAAGGATTCAATTGCTTCATCCCACTTTTCTAAAGACAAGTAACATCCAGCGATTTTTAAATTCAGATTTCCACTGGTTGATCCTAAATCTTTTTCCAACATCAAGTAGTAATGCAAAGCAGACTGATGATGACCGAGCTTCCTGAATGTGTCTGCGATTTCAATTATTGACTCCATAATGTCATTTACTTTCTCAACACGGAGTGACCCAAAACGGGATTTTGCGCTATCTAGATCTCCGAGATGGAGGTAGCAAATTCCTGCCTTAGCTGTTATTAGATCTCTAAAGGAAGATTCTCTACTGGAACAATCTTCCCTTTTTTGAATATGTTGAAGAGCTCTAGAATACTCACCGTTCTCAATGCATATGCTGGCTAGCATCAAAGTGATTCGTGGATCGCCACGGGTTGGGCAATGGCTGAGATAACTCTCAAGAGCAACCAGCGAAGATTCAACCTTACCACACTGCTTATACAGCTCAGCTGCTGCCATGCAGACTTCAGAATCATTGAGTCTGAGGTGGTGTATCTGTTCATACAGCTTTGCAGCTTTCTCATACTCTTTGAGTTCAGTGTAATGTGATGCGCCAAGGAACTTAAGCATGATGTCATTGGGGTCCACAGCTATGGCCTTGGGAAGGTAATAATTAACAGCAGCAGCTTTACCTTGATCTAAAAACCAAGAAAGTAGTGACTTCCAGAGGGATGTGTCCTTTGGCCTGTCTACACTTTGTGTAGCAAGCATGTAATAACAGATGGCCCTTTTCTTATCGCCCTTTGCGTTGTAGACGAGGCCGAGCGTATGATAAGCATCGTGCGTTGGGCTACGCCTAATACACTCACTGAGCAACTGTATGGCCCTCTCGTAATCCCCTGTCGCATAGCACAGCGTGGCCTCACCTAACATTTTCCTGGCTTCGGGGTCCATGTTGCTTCTAGAACCTTTGCGCCTTCCTTTTCTCTTTTTCTTCCTTGACTTCCTCCTAGACCCGTAATTCATGGCTTCCATGATTTCATCCATGCTAGCACCTAGAAACTCTACCTCCCCCTTCTGTTTCTTCGAAGTCTGTTTGTCATCTTGGTAAGACGCAATGGCTTTTCTCTTATTCTCTGCAAGTTCATTGTAATTAGCATCGTCCACCAAGAAACTAAAAGGCATTATCTCCTCTTCTGACTCATCCTCTCCACTTTTTCCACTAGATACATCATCACACCCATCACCTGATTCTGTTTCCCCTTCACGAGCATCTAACTCCACACCCTTTTCATAACCTCCAATCATCACAAGCTTCTCTTCTTCACGAGAAACCCCAACTTCATTTGTTTCTCCTCCCATTGCCCCGCTTTAATCAAATCTCACCTGCAAATGTGTAGCAGTTTCTTCACCCGGGCAAAAAATAGAACCACATTTACTTCACTTCAGTGTGAAAGAGTCAAGTAAAAACCTAAAAAAATATGATAAGAAGAAGCTTATAGTCTTATACCAAACATGTGTGTTGATAAATTAGGAACCAAGCACCCAAGCTTATGTAACTATTATACTAAGGATGGTAGTATTGCCAGTGCTTCTCGAGAAGCAAAAGAAAAAAAAAATCCTACCTTTCACAAACTAGATCAACATTTGGATTAAGCAAAACACAACTAAGTCTAGCTATGCTCGCATATTGCAGCCCACCCTAATCAATGGTGATAATATGTCTGCATAAAACTTTTTTTGCTTTTTATATATGCAAATTTTTATTTCTAATACAAAAAAAATTACTTCGGGAGAATTGACTTTAACTTGACTTGAACCCTTTTGGATTTTTTAATTGGACTAAATTTTCTGGTCGTGTCTGAGTTGTTTAAATTTAGACTAGTCTAATACGCAGTAGATGATTGTTTTATATGTATTTCATTATTAAGCCTGATCTGGTCTGTTTAACACGGCTATGGTCTGAGACTGAAACCAGTCTAACTAAAAAGTTATGATTCGGAATGAAGAGAGTACTTAATTTCTTTATGTCGGTAAGAACATCTAAAACTCACGCCGATCTTTAGCCAGTCCACACAAAAGCAAATCCCTTTCTGGATTACAAACCAAGAAAGTTGGCAAAGACTTCAACTTTACCAAATAGACCACAAGAAGTCCAGAAAAAGATCATTTAGAAATTTAGAATGGGTATGGCTTAATTTGATCCAGTAAGCACTACAACGCTATAAAAACCCAGAATCCAAACTCGCCTAACAGAGAAGACAAACGGTACTACCAGAAAAGATAAATTATCACTGCACAACTAAGAAAGAGAGAAGCGTGTGCTGAAAAAATCACTGAATTACGCGCTACCAGAAATCTTGAAGCCTTACCATGGATATTGGCGCTAACTAGGAATGCTGCACTGCGAGTCTGGGACCAACTGCTCTTCGAGTAAAAAACTCTTGTTTGATTATGTTAGGTTCAACCGAATAAATTTCTTTTGCAATTCGAATAGAATAATTTAGGTTGTCACCAATGGGCGGGCATCTGTGCCCTTTAACATTTTTTTGGGGCAAAAAACTTCTTAACGGTGGCTAATTAACGGAATGAGCAACTATTAAATTTGTTCTTACTATGACTGTATATATATATAACAATTAAATCTGACAATATTTTTGATATTTTTCTTTTACAGCCCGTTTGGTATCCTTGTTTTTGATTTATTAGGCTTAGGATGTTTTTACTTGGACTGTAATTTGCCCCAGACCAGACCAGACCAGACCAGACCAGACCAGACCAGTCCAGACCAGACCAGACTTGGATAGTTATAAAAATACAAAGAAACCAGACCTTACCAGACCAGACCAGACCAGTTCAGACCAGACCAGACCAGACCAGATCAGATCAGACCAGACCAGACCAGACCAGACCAGCAAATTACAGTCCAAGTAAAAACATCCTTATTAACCAACTTTTCCACCAAATAGTAATTTTTAATTTCGCGTGCTAAATTGCGTAATAATAAGAAAAAATAAGGTTGAAGTTACTTTTCTGGCTGTATTAACTGAAATTACTGTAGGGGACCATTTTAGGTATTTTTACATATAATTTTTTCTTTATTTTATTAATAAATTATATTTTAGATATAATTTTTTAATAAATTTGCAAAATCAACCAATTCAACCACTTTTGCTAGAATTTCATAAATTTCAACAAAATCAGCCGAATCAGCCAATTTTGGTATCACCAGACGGGCTCTTAATTTCAGCGGGAGAGGTAAATCTAGAATATTTTGGTCCTAAAATCAGGACATACTTTCTCCCTTCCTAAAAAAGTGCAACATTTTGAATTCTACACTAGTCACATGATCTACTTTAAATATGCTTTATTTATTAATGTTTTAATAAATAAATTTTCTAAACAAATATTCTTAAATTGAAGAATATTTGAAGTTTTGAAGTAATATGAAACTGATTCTGAGATTACTTATTCATTTTATTTAGTTATTTCGATCAATCGATTTCTACGTATGTTTTCTTACATTGACTTATCATACAAAAAAATAAAGCTACTAAAGCACCACAAGCAATTGGAGCACCAACCAAACGACCTAGTAAATAAAAAATACATTCTCTGCACTTGCCATATTTTAATCAATTTGTATTTTGAGAAGGAATTTACACCAATAAGTATATTTCATATCCTTGTTACTATATAGTGTACTTTATTCATTTTATTTAGTTATTTCGATTTCTATGAATGTTTATTTATATACTCCTTATGTCTTATGTTGACTTGTAATGCAAAAAATAAAGCTTCTGGAGCATCACAAGGAGCTGGAGCATTAAGGAAACAACCTGGTAAGTAAAAAGCATATTCTTTGCACTTGCTATTTTTTAATCAATTTGTATTTTGAGAAGGAATTTACACCAATAAACATGTTTCATATCCTTGTTACTATATGAAGTTGTTTCCAGGAAACAACCTGGTAAGGAATATCCAAATTTGTAAGTATAAAACGGCCCGTTAGTATTTAGTTTACTTTACTGACATATGAAGTACATTCTTTGCACTTGTGTTTTATATTTTGTTTCTGGTTTAGTGACAACACTTACCAATGTATTTCTTTAGTTATTTCAATTTCTCTGAATGTTTATTTGCATTGGCACTTTCATCGGTAATTATGTAATGTAGATAACGTGTAATGTACTTTAATTTACAGCTCAATCTCTAGGGTAATAACGAAACTATATCACAAGGGTCAAATAATGTGCGTGGAAAAACTTGTAGCCAAGGTGCACGGAAAGCAATGAAAAGTGCCAAGACAAGATTGACGGTAGAGTTTGACTTTGACCTTTTGAAAGCAATATGCGCTAATGCAGAGGCTTTCAATAACGAAATTGGATATATTGTCTGAACGCAATGTGACTTAAAGTTTAAAGAATGGAGGTTTGTAAGAGAAGCAGTGAGGGCACCACTTCGTTATAAACTTCTTGTAAGTCTTCATAATTAAAGATTATCTTATTTAGGGAGTGTTTGCAATTGTTTCAACTTTAAAAAAGTGATTTTTTAAAGTGATTTTGGGAAAAGTGATTAATAGTAAAAGTTGGTAGTGTTTGAGAAAAAAGTGATTCTGGAAAAGTAAAAGTTGGTAGTGTTTGGTAAAATAAGTACTTTTTGTGTAATAGAAAAAGTGAGAAGCAGTTTAAACCACCGTCTACCTGCTTCCAGCTTTTAGCTTTTAAGTGATTAATTTAAGCAGAAGCTGTCATTTGAAAACACTCTTTTCAACTTTTTTAAGCCAAAAGCTGAAAAACGCTTTTTTTAAGCAAACCCAAACACTCCTTTAATTTGGCTAATTCAATTTTATTTTTCCTTTGCAGTTTTCCAATTCATGGAATGTTCTTAATTTAGTATCCCACATATAATTATATGAATATTTGATTAATTTGGTGGATATGTTTGTGTATAAAACTTGTACTGCTTGTATGAATATTTGATTAATTACTCCAGCTTTGTGTGGCAGGTGGTGTTGCATTTAGAGGATCGAAAAAAGTTGTCTATACTTAGCTTAGCTGAACACCACCTCCCCAGAGGACCCTGAACTCCCCCACCTTCTTTTTCTTATTGAGTCCCTTTGATTCAGAAACTGGTTGACCTTTTTTGGAAAAGCTTTCCGAACAAGTTCTATGTCTTCACCAGTTGACAAATAGCAGCAACCGTCCTCTCTATGAATCTCTAGCCCATCAAACCTTTCTGTTAAATCATTCACTTCTTCATCATTCCCACCTTCTTTGGTGGCAATCTCCAATACATCATCACCCTCTTGTGTTAGATATTTCCATTCACCAATATCTCTCCAAGTTTTTGGAAGCGTATTTGGCTTTTCTAATGTAAGTGTCTGATATGAACTTTCCAATCAGCTGGCTCTTCTGTTAAATCAATAACCTCATCGGCTCTCCCAGTTTTCTTGATATGAACTTTCGTCTTGTCAGGATGGTCACTTGTCAAATATTTCACCCCAGTAGATGTCATATTCTGTTGATACATGTTAGGCTTTTCGGGTGTAACGGTATGGATATCTTCAGCTGGATCTTCTGTTAAATGTATAACTTCATCAGCTGTTCCGGTTTTCTTAATATGAACTTCGGTCGTATCAAGAGAGGAACTTCCATGAAATCATTAGATGTTGTATTGTCCTGATGCATATTGGGCCTTCTAGAGGTAACCGTGTCATCGATATCAGCAAAGATTGTGTTTGTTGCTTTCTTCCAATAAACGACATAAAACTGAACATCGTATCTTGTTTTCACCCGCTTGATATGAGCAAAACTCATACTGTCCATAGAGCAAAAGACTTTCAGAATTTGAAGCTACATCTCTCAGAAACAAAGTTGATAGCATTGGGAGCATTCTCTTCCGCGTATCAGGAGGCTTCCATCCCTGAAGTCGAGCTAAATACTCAACTAGCATTTCAGTTTTTGGGTCTGTCCAAAATATCATCTTGCGGTCTTCATCAAATCTGTTTTCATTATGCAAATAGATATTAATGATTAAATCATGTGGGAATTCCTCTGAAGTAATCTGTCTGCAAACTTTAATATGCCAATTTTCATACTTCCTCTGTTCATCTTCTTCTTTTCTATCCATGTTGCATGATGAACAGTTACACTTAAAATCTGGGTCTACAATTTATATGAAGTAGTATTAACTGAAGTAGTATTAACTTTGCAATGAGCTAACTCTAGTTATTGCTGCCAAATTATATTGAAATTATATTATGTTTTTAGAAAGAGATGGTTTTCTACTCACTAGAGTTCTATATTACTGGATTTGGTGTAGCACATGACCTCTCAACACAATGTTCATGTTATATTTCTTACTTTGCTGATTTGCAGACATTATTTGATGTTGATTTGGAAGATGAGAATGTAAGGAAATGCATTGATACTCAAATGCAAAAAGCGTGGCATGGGTACAGACACACATTACGTACGCACTTTAAAGAAGTTGGAGGTGCTAGTGATTTAACAACAGCAAAGAGTAAGCCTCCTGAGGACGTCAACAGTCTAGATTGGGATTATCTATGTGATTTGTGGAGCGACCCTGCTTATCTGGTAATGTGCTTTACTGAACTAATGTGTGGTTATATAATATTCTTAATATGTAGTGTTAGACTTCAGTTTTATTTGCTTAATAATTTATCAAAAGAATTAAAATAAATAATTACTTATTACAGTAAAGTATCATACTAAATATCATCTGATTCCATTTAAAGTTTTGTTGGTTAATTTCACTATTTTATTTTGCATAAAACACATGTATAAGTGTTTTCTGGATTTTGTTAACGACATGTATAAGGTTGTTTTAAGCCTTAAACTGTTTTGTATTATGAGGGCGTGAACTTATATTTATTATGCTGACCGTGGACTGATAATTGTTATAAGCAATGTGCGGACTTGATTTATGTAATGTGATTATCTATTGTTATAGGAAAAAGCTCTTACGAATGCTGAATCACGCAAAAAGAGAAAATACAATTCTAGAAATGGTTCTAAAAGTACAGCTCGTCATCACGTTAGTCGTGGAGTTGATCTAGATGCCCCAGTTGGACATATCGAGACATGGCGCCTGCGTCATTGGCATCCAGAGCGTGGTTGGATATCTCCAGAAGCAGAATCTAAATATGTAAGTAAAATTTATCTCAAATATGTTATTAGCCCATCGGGCATGTTGTGGAAACATTTTAATTAAATACTATTGCTTTAAAAACCTAACAGGAAGAAATGATGCAACTTAGAAGAGATAACCCACCCGAGAAATTGACTGATAAGCAAATATTAGAAAATGTGCTTGGACGGCAATCTGTTCGGTTGTTTGGTTGGGGACGGTCTCCCTCTGGATCTAAAAGAAGTAAAAATGACTCAAACCTTCCTACCTATAGTGAGTTGGTTGGCACAGTTGAAATGATGAGGAAATTGTTGATTGAGAAGAACATCATTCCCCCCATGCCACAAATTGCATCAGATCATTGTTCGGGAGCACACAATCGCGACTCATCATCTGTTGGCCGAGATCAGCCTATTGATGGCTATGTTGACTCTACTTCTGAATTTGATGATGTCGAGTAGAAATAGCATTGAGATCAGAACACGTAATACATTATTTATTGAAGTGCATAACACTGATTACTATGTGTTGGCGTAAAAACTTGTTTTCCTTTATTTGGTGTTGTTATTGAAGACTAAATTCTCATGGAGGATACTTATTATTATCAGTATTATGCATTGTCAATCTACCGACATAATTTTGATTTTGAATGAGCTTGTTTTCAATTTGTATTATATTGATGTGTTCTGTTATTATTATATAGGTCTATTTCGTAAAAAATAAACGTTAATTAAATCAAAAGAATAGTCGTACCAACCCATAATTATCAGTAGTTACACACAGACAAAACTTTTACCCACACTTACGTTTCGTTTTACCTACACATATTTGAATCATTTAGCTACACATTTCTCATCTTTAGCTACACATAAAATGTGTCCACGTGGCTGTATGTTTCCAAAAAAAAATAACATCATTTTCCATGTGTGCCACGTAATCATTAAATTGCCACGTCACGTGCCACGTCAGACGCCATGTCATCAAGACGGTGTGTACATGACAAACAACAACACACGATATAGTGTTTTACCTACACATACATGTGTAGGTAAAAATAAACAGTATTACCCACACATACATTTATGTGTGGGTAAAAACTATAGTTGAATACCCACACATGTCTACACTTAATTTATGTGTAAGCAAAAATGATTACCTACACATACCTATACTTTTACCTACATATACATGTATGGGTAAAACTTCAATTTTCTTGTAGTGTTCCGAATCAGAACCGGAGGTTCCGATTCTCAAATATCCAACGAGCCGAACTGTCAATATAACCGAAGGTTCTAAACCACCTAGTCCTACCGGTTCTGGTTAAAATTGCACCGAACCACAATATGAATTTTACATTATAGGATGGAAGGAGTACATATTTTCTTTCGTTCCTACCTAACGTCAAAAAACGTTAAAATGAGAAGAAAAATCTTAAGCCATATGACATCGATGACTCCGGAGACAACGATTGTAATTGATAGTGACATAATAAAATTATTGTGACATAAAAACCTGTTAATGACATACTCCATTTGTCTCTCATAACTTTGTCACCTTTATTTTCGTTTTTGTTTTCCCCAAAACATTGTCACTTTTCACTTAAACAATTAATTAATTTATGATTTTTTAATATTTCTCTATCTTCTACAAAAACCTCAAACACAAGTCCGTCAGACTTGGCAAACATATAAGCATAGGAGTAATAAACAGGCCGTGACATTCAGGTCTCAATTATATTACCTTTTTTTAAAGAAAGTAACTTAATTATTATTGATAAACATACTATAAAGTGACTTAACAATTACAATCATATAGCTCAAAGCTACAATGAGATGCAACGTAGAAATATACGATTTAAATCGAAAACGCTGAATCACTAATACCGCAAAGAAGTAGTCTCCATCTGCAGATTAACTGCTCCTGCTACGACCACAATAATTATCAAAGGAACTCTTGAACATCTCAGTTTGTCCAGTCACAGGTAAGGAGCCAACTGCAGAATTTGTTCCAGTTTTACCAGTCACCAGAAAGAAAGCAATCCATGTGATCTCATCATCCTGGAACGACGGTGATCGAGGCTAGGGAGTGATCTTCTTAGCACACAAGAACATCCGATCGAAAGTGATGGGGAATATGCATCTGGCTAACGATACTTCGCCACCGATAATAATCTCCATACAACACTGGGAAAGAAACATATGAATAGAACTGAAAACACTGATTAAGAATTCAATTGGATCTGCTTAGGGGGTGTTTGGATCTGGTTCTTCAAACTGCTTCTGCTCCTTGAGGGAGTAGAAGCATATATTGGAGTGTTTGGGTGGAAGTGCAGAAGTACTTCTTAGTGATCAAAATTTCTCCTAGAAGCAGTTTTTTAGAACCTAGGGCAGACCAGCTTCTGGAACTGATTCTGATTCTACTTCTGCTTTTAAAAATGAAGCAGAATCAATTCCAAACACCCCCTAGATTCTCATATTGAAATTCATAAGAGTTGATTATAGATATAATTTAATAAGTTCTTATAAAAGAAAAAATAAGAAAAGAAGTGAATTAGAATATATGAATCAGAAATCACGATGCTCAATATTGAACTAATATTCAACAGAATAGGTATGGTCTGATGCTCACTAAAAGTGCATTAATGCTCATTCAACATAAGCCGAGATTTTCACATAATTTACAAAAACGCCACCGGCTGAACGGTGCAAGTCGTACAACATAGGGACTCGAAGAGGTCCTACACTCCTACAACATAGGATAATGCAGTATCCTATCATTTTGGTTGATTTCCAATACACTAACATTTTTTTTACTTTCCTTCAAATAATGCCTTAATTCGACTGGGAAAGTGTTTTCCCAATAAACAACCACTTAAGTAGAGTTTTTTTTTTAAAAACAATAACTTAAGTAGAGTTAAATACGTCTGGAAATTTAATTTAGTTCAATTACATTGCTCAAGACCAAACCAGACTAAAAAAGGAGTTGAAGAACAATTTTTATAATAGTGGATCAAATCAAATTCATAAACTGAACCGAGTAATACTGAATAGTTAATAGATTAAAATGGAAGTAACTATATAATTAAAGCATGAAACAAAATCCACTACTAGTATCATTATATTGTGAAGAATGTTCATTGCATCTACATGTTGTGTAGGATACGACATAATATTCACACAAATGATCTCGAAAAATTACATGGAAAAAAGGAACAGAGAAGTTGAAAGCTCGCTTGCAGCTATAGATGATAAGATGATGGGAACGATGTGTCTACTCCAACTCCTCCTACACATAGCATATGAGTAATAATACACACAAATACATACACAGAGGTTTCTTCAATTATCTGATCAGAATGTGTGATATGATGAAGTGCCGAGTGCGATATTTGGATAAGAATCTTTAGATTCTGTACTATGTATGTGCCGAGAATGTTTACTTACTCTCATCTCAGCAGCTTCTTGTTTGGCTTAGTGGGTCATAATCATAGGCATCACCCGGCTTGACAAACCGTCCCTTGACTCGCCTCCTAACATCAGCTCGGGCCTTACGTGAAGCATATCTCACTTGCTTTTCAAACCTGCCATTTTCCAATGTTGTATCTTTGAATGAGGTAGGTAGGCTAAAACATAAAACAAGTCCTCGGATAGTGTTAAGGACTACCATGATCATATTGCTCACTTGAGTTTCATATGCTTCGATACTATATTGAATGTGGATCCCATTCTAAAAGTCAACAAAGACTCTAAAAGTCTTTTCTGTTGGTTTGTAATTCTATGGTTTATCCAAGGAAAAGCTAAAAAAAAGTAACCTCCCGATGGGGTGTTGGACGGTTGGCATTTAGGGTACGAAGAATTAATATGTACAAACAACGATTTGCATTTTTGCGTCTCCATACTAGAAGGACATATACACTAACAGCTTGAAATCTTGCTGGTGTGATGCCTATAGGGCTAGTTTTGCTGACATGGTCTTCTTGGTCATTTAGACCGGAAGTGGATCCTGATGTGGTAACCACTATTGACGATAACACAACCATTGTCATGGTAGTGGTTGTGATCGTGCAAACCAACCAACCAGAAAGTACTTGTTATGTACACTTCCCTTATTATTAATGTGGTGTGTGCTTAGCATAACAACAAAGAGAGTTCTCATTAATCTTACTTGCGAGTTTTCTTCTTTGCTTTGTAGCGCAACACAGCATCAGTCCTACTAGAGGAAGGCGGCTCGCGGAATGACGAAGCTCCACAGTCCTCATGATAATCTCCACCACTACTCTCTCCGGTGACGTTTGAGAATGAGAAGTTGTTGGGCAGTCGAAAACATGGGTTAGGTGGTTCTGTCCAGCAGCTCATAATGGAATCTCCAGATGCTGCTTGAATTGCCTTGACATGTACGCCCCTCGTTGATGACCCCTACCATACAATCAATAATGTCAACACATGGAAACACAAGTATCTGGCGCAAACATGAAAGAAAAGGGTATCTAAATGTGAAGCATGGAACGTTAGAACAACCTCAACCGCATTTGCACCCTTACAGCTGGAATGGGCAACAGACATGTCCTCTGTCTCAAATAGGTCATCAATTCCTGGATTCTCTGGATTGTTAAGTGACATAATAAATAATTCTTCATAATCTTCATCCATATTCAAATCCCTATATAAATCAATATCCTCTTCGTATATACTCATGTCTTTGGTTCCAGGATAGCAAACCTGAATTTATTATTAAACAAGCATAAGAACCTAAATTGACTCTCACATAAACACTCTGAGAAAAGACTTGCCTAATTTATTTAATGTAAATCAGAAAACTTCATACTTTATTGTCAATTGGGACCCTTCCTAAATACTATCGTATTTACCTTGAATATTGTTTTGTAATATCATATTCTCATTACACACAAACTGCTACTACTACTACTTCCTTCCTAATTTGAAGGTCTGATATTTCAGATCACCAAGTCTGACTAAAGTTAAAACTAACTCTTCCTTAATAATATTGAAATGAGTATCAATTATTCAAATTAAAATAATAAAAAACCACAATAAACTTTCCATAGAGCCAAAAAGCGAACTAGAGTGTAAACAAAAATATGATAAATAAAGCAGAGATCAAAAGAGTCCTTGATTGACCGCAGAATAGTGAATATTACCTTCAAAGTGGGACGCGGGGGTGTTTTTTTTATTATGACACATAAGTAAAAATGAAGAAAACTAAACTACGAAGGGAAACAACATCATGTCACACCTATTTGTTCTTGTTTACCGAAAGTTATGCCATCTCACATAGGGAAAATATAACACATAACAACCAACATAACTAATCTTCTAGGACGAAACCACAAGTTTTGATATCCACAACATAAATTACCTTTGGTGATCCAGTAGGATGTTCTATCTTGTCAATAGTTCTCATAGATGTTCCCATCCCACCAGGGAGCAAACTTATAGTAGGCACGACACTTCTTCCTTCAACCATAGTGGACAGTTCTACAGAACTAATCTCTCCTGCTTCTGGAACTAGGGCATTTTGACGGGTATCAGTGATGCTCATTGAACCCATTCCTTGCTCACACGCAAAATCATCAACCATAGGGAAATCTAAGAGAAATGGCCACATGCTATAAAGTTGGGCAGCTGAAGGGCAGCCTGAATAACAGCTGACTGCTTGCCTCTTGTGAGTGGAATTAGGGTGCCCTGTCCAGTCACAGTTCTGACAAAGAGATGCCTTTTCCTCAGCACATCTAACAATGGATGGCTGTGAATTGCATCTCTCACATAAAAGTGTCCTTGAATGGCGTTCTGAAAGAGCATTTGCAGAATGCACATTTCGGTCACATGATAAGCATAAGCTTGCTGCATCTGACCGACAATATACTACAGATCTTTGTTCCCCACAGAACTCACATATGTATCCCATTCTGTTTGCCAACAGCTAAAGCTCAAACCCACCCAGAACCAATTATAAAACTCTCAGACCATTTGCTCAAACTTCAGCTTTTTACCTGACAAAAAACAGTTAGCTTTCAGTCAAACACAAGTAGAAGTTTAACAATGAGGTTAGGTCTAACTCAACCTCAAAAAGATGTCAAGATTGAGGATTGTCCAACATTTAGAGCTCATTTGGTGATAGCTGAAATGACTGCTTAAGGTGAATTAAAAGTGTTTGGTGGTTTTTTTAAATGATTGATTGGGTGTGTACCTACCTAAAAGGATACACAGTACTTTGCTTATATGAGGAAAAAACAAGAAAAGGAGGAAACTATTGCCATTTCATTGTAAGAATACGAATTGGCCTAAAACGTAGCAATAAGTCTTCTTTTTTTGCTGAAAGCGTAACTAGTCGAATCAGCCAGATGTTGGTGTATTTGGTATTTCTTTTAAGGCTTATAACCCTATTTTGGCATACAAAACACACTCAAGGGATTATTTCATTTAACATTTAGTTTATGCGAGAAGTCATATACAAAGCAGCAATTAAAAAGGTTTCTTGATGTGATTGTTACTAGCCAAAAAAAAAACTCCATACTAAAAACCAATTGAAATGAGAAAGTGAGAAGGTTAAGTCTCAAAGAAATCATGATATATCTAAGGAATTAAGGTTTAGAAACTCTATCAACTCAAATAATGTTCTTTTTTGTCTGCAATAGCATCTAAAAAATCATACAAAATTTTATTTGGGAATTAAACAGTGGAAAAAAAGTTAGAGTAACCGATAGATGCTACAAGAATATCAACTGATTGGTTCACTATGCTCTAAACTGATGTTTCCATGGGATTAGAACAACAAAGTGAAAGCATCTAATCACAAACAAATCCCAATAGCTGGAGGTCATCCTAATCTGCACCAAAAACAAAATATTCTTTCCTATAAAAAAAACATCACTTGATTACCAAATTGTGGAACTCTAGTAAAACTCATTAGATTGAACCAATTATACCAAACATACAATAACAACAACATTTAAGCCTTATTCCCAAAAGATTTTGGGGTCAGATAACGGGAATCAATCCATGATATCAAAGCCAAAAAGAGAAGAAAGACTCCACAACAAGTTAGAGTCAAACATAATTCAGAAAAATGCAGTAAGTTAGAGTCCTACGACAGAGTATTTAAGAAAAACATTGATTACCGAATCCACAGCAATACTGTATCCTTACCATCCACATCAAATAAATTTTAGCCTAAACTCCCAAATAAAAAAATCTAGAAAACAAACTTATAAGAAATCACCACAAAAAATTGCTCCTGCATGAGCTCTGAATTTCCTTACTATTACTACTACTATTATATTATTCTTAAAGAGATAAAAAAGGAGTCAAAATATAACTACCTTACCTACTTTTAACTGTGAAACTGGCCAAGAAAAAGATGCAGTAAAACAGAGGGCAGTAAGGATAAACCTTTCTCCTCTGCAGCTTTCATTTTAAATAAGAACCCTAAAAGAAAGAGATCAAAGAGGCCTTCCCAGAGTCTTTCTTGCAGCAATTTTTTGCAATTGTCTGTTGTTGAAATGAAATGTGAGCGTTGGATAATAATAAAATTAGAATTTTAATATTATCAGCTGAAATAAAAAGTGCAGAACAGAGAAAATGAAGGTGTGAGGGTGGGTCCCTGTCCATTTCACCAACAAATGGTAATGTTAGGTCCCACCTTTTTCTTCTTGCACTTTTTTGGTCCCAAAATGGACTCTACTAATGGGCGATTAAAATTAGATTAGCGTCCTTAATTACGTCTGGCATGCACTCTCTTGAGATATTTTTGCCAGAATTCTGAAAATCTCACCCTAGATAACAAATCAATTGCAGTAATACTTGTATTACAGAAATACTTGTATTACAGAAATGACAATGATTTGCGTATGGTTGGTCTTAATATGGGGCAATCAATGAAAATGGGGGGCAATTCGGGTCAATCAAAAGTTTGTTTTGTTTGAATTGAGTTTTTTTTTAGAAAAAATAGAAATACACTTCTGTATCTCCTTAGTTATCTATCAATACGGATAATAATACTACGGTACTACCTGTCTACCTTCATCCCATTTTTTTGTCAATATTTAATCCTTGGAAAACGTTTCGTGATTTCTTTTTAAAGTACTTCATATGTCTTGAACGAGAACCTCGCAAAAATACGTCTAGTATTATCACATAACACCGTGTACTCAATAAAGTGTCATATAAATACGTCTACTTATAAAAAGCAATCGCATGAGTCATAACAACTTGTTGACAACCTCGTAATCCCAGTTTTTACGTACGTTTAGCTATCTTTTTAAAATAGATTATATGGCTCACGGGAAATATTTGGCCAGGATTGGCTTAAATACAAGGCCAAAATAATGACATGTAAGCTAAAATCGGTATTAGGAGGTTGTTAGCGGATCGTTTTGACTCATCTGATTGTTTTTATAAGAAGATGTATTTATATGATACTTTATTGACTACATGACCTTATGGGACGATTCTGTAATTATAATTTGCTCATTTTCTCGTCTTAAATTGATAAGAAGGCCTTATTTGATCATTTTCTCGTCTTAAATTGAATTATAATTTGCAGATTTTAAGATTGAGTGAAAAGAAAGTTAAATCATCCTTGTAGATAGTTAAATCAGTTTTAAGAATTAAAATTTCCATATTCAAAAACTACATCGAATGTTCAATAAAGTTGCAAAATCCAAATTAAAGTGTAATGAAAAATTGATATGCAAAAATACTACGTAAGTAGATAAAGTGAAATCGTGTTGACCAAAAATACTTGACTTTGCAAATAACTTTGGGGACGGGGAGTAACAAGTTTATGATTAATGTCATTTCTCTCTCTTCTACACAAATTATAATAATCAAACAATTTTTACTCTAAAGAAATTGCCCTTAACATGAGTAAAACTGTTTGTAAATTTCAAAATATGACTATAATATTTTGGCAATACTAAACATTCAATATTACAGTATTTTATAAGCTTAACAGTAATTACTCATATTCACAAAAATATGACAGTCATATTTCAAAATTCCAATTTTTTTTACTCCTCTTTCAGAAAATTTATCATTACTTTATTATTCTACTTGATGTCAAAATTAGCATACTTTTATGGGACCGTAGGAGTATGTATTTTTTCTAATATAGAATCAAGATCCATTTTTTATAGTTTTACACTACAAGTAATTTGTAACAATAAATTATCCAAACACAGTTCTCTATTTCATACAATAAAATCAATACTAAACAATCCAGATAAAATCACTTTCTCATGGAGGATATAGTTATGCTTGTATTTCTACTTTCAAAATAGGAGAAGTGGAATCAATTCTAAAGTCGATCCCCTTATAATGTTATTTGAGGGGAATACACTTAATTAGTGATACGGAGTACAACCTGAAGTCCATAATACTTCCGTGTCTAATGGAAATTGCATGGAAGAAGTTCATGTTTGTATATCCTATTATATATTGTATCGAAATGAGTATGAAAACGTAAATGAATGTTTGAAATGCCATCATTTACGTTACAAGAGGAATGTTTGAAATGCCATCATCTAGCGAGGGTGAAATACTGAGCTCTGGCCGAAGTTTTATGCTATCTTCTAAGGGTTTAAAGATTATTTATGAATGGACACATTTAGATGACACGTTTAAGACAATCGGATAAAAGGTGAAAGTAGTATGCATTGAAGATAAGATGTGAGAGTCTCAACTTCGGTGATTTCGCCATGTGTGCACAGAAAAATCAAATGATGTACCTCTTAGATGAATTGAGAGGTATGGAGGAGAGGGATAGTATGACCTACACACATAGACGTGGATTAGAGTGATCAATAATGATATATATGGTACATCTTGGGGTAGATGAAAGTATGGATTTGAGAGAATGAAGTGGATGTAAAATTTACATGTTAATGATTGATTTGGTTTTGTGTGACTCAATTATTCCCTATTCGTTGTTTTTTGAAACTTTATCAATCTAAGATGTGAAAGGGAGCTATCGGTCAGAGGCCTGAAAGTTGAAGACTATTGATATAAGGTCCGAATGATTAATAACTATCAATCAAAGACAAAAAATGTAATAGGTTTTTTTATTTCTTTTTTCTTTTTTATTTTATTTCTAATTTTTGATGATTTGTCTTCTCAGAAGTTTATAGTTTAATAAACTTCATATATTTTCATATATGTGAAAATATATATGAAAATATATATCCTTAAAATTTTTAAGGATTTGATCAAAGCGAATAATATCAAACCAAACCAAATCGAACCGAAACAGAACTAGATGCGATTCATTCATCAGTTTGTATTTGTTAGCATTTCTTACAAACTGCATTAACCTGAATTGAAATTGAATAAGACCAAATTGAATTTAAAAGGTCCAATAAAATCTTATTAAAAATAACAAAACCAATTGGACCATGATTAACCAGACCCAACTCTGTTGACCATGCCGATCCATATCCATCTCCGCTCCCACTTCATGAACATTCCGAGCCATCAGTAGAGATGTCTGTATACCATATTCATAGCCCGTTTGGTGACCCCTTTTTTTCGGCTTATCAGGCTTATCAGCCAGCTTTTTCACCAAACACATAATTTTTTATTTCGCGCGCTGAATAGTGTAATAAGCAGAAAAAGTAAGGTTGTAGTTACTTTTCTGGCTGTATTGGCTGAAGTTACTGTAGATGATCATTTTAGCTATTTTTCATATAATTTTTTTATTTTATTTATTAATAAAAAATATTTTAAATATAATTTTTTCATGAATCAGCAGAATTAACCAATACAGCCACTTCATATATAGTGTTACCGCTCTCAATCTTATCATATATAGTGCAGACAAAGCCAGCATAACTTGTGTAGTTGTTTAAATTGAGTGACTAACAAAATAGTTGAGCCAAACTATGACTGGCTTTGACCAAAGACTTGACGATGATGCCTTCAGCTCTTGTGTCAACTCACAAACACAAACGTCAAAAATTAGTTTAAAATATTTTTCAATTGCATGTGACCTAAAAGGCCACTTATGTCACATTTAGGGATCAAAGATTCAAGAGGATGGTTTATGTACGGGCTATGATGGGCTGAACCTCAGAGTAACTTAGAAAATTTTCAATTTTTTAGTGTAAATTTTTTCATTTTTCATATTTAGTCCACCCCGCCAATATTTAAACTTAGTATAATTCTTATTCAGCCCAGAGCATCTCAGATTCCTGAATCCGCCCCTAGATGAGGTTAGTGAATTTTGAGCTAAGATGATTGAGATCTCCATGTCATGGTGAAAATAATCACATTTGCATGCTTGAAGTCCAATTAGATGCATTCAAACTCTTAAAAAGAATGTATACATATGATTTAATTGGGGTTGATATTTAGTCTTCAAAAATTACAAGATTAAAAAAAAACAAATATATGAGTAAATAATGGTTCTCGGGGTGGAATGCTATTCATCATATTGTTTTGGCCTCAGCGGTCACTCCTTTGGAAATTTGGAATCATCGTCGTTGTTTATACGCAATAAATATGCGTAGTAAATGTGAAGAAGTGTAGAATATGAGTTTGTGAATTATGAATTAGAGTTTACACCCAGGTATGGACCTCTAATATAAGGTCTGACAAACCTGTTTACATAAAAGGACTCATTACATAAAAGGCTAATATAGAATATTCAAATAATAATAATAATAATAATGTATAATAATATAAAGGATGTCCGGTAAGCGTGTGTGGGCCACTGTCCAAGCCTAATAGTCCTGAAATTGGGGTATGAGTCTATATACTCTATCAGTAGTATAATTGGACGGGTAGTTCTTGTTGTACACAAACTGTACACAACTTCTGCACATAGATAATTAATGTTTTTTTAAACAAAATGTTTGCGCACATGTGTAAATTTCCTAATTGGACAGCGGAATAAAGCAATACTTCAATGAAAGTAAAAGATTTAATAAAATCTTATACCACGTATAAATTATATTTAAATAGTAAAAATCTTAATTCTTAAGTGAACCAATTTGAACACAAAAAATCTTAATTTTAATCTAAGATTATAGGCAGAAATTGGAAACAAGAAAGGGTTTATTGAGCACATCAATTTGTATGAAGTGAAGTAAAGAGTACACTATATTGCATTTGACATTTCTAAGTACGCAAACTCGGGTCCTTAGTGTTAATTGAGTATACCCGTTAGATCAACACATTAATACGGCTAAGTTGGCTAACAGAAATGTCAACAGGGCGGCTTCCTGAAGGTCGACGTCAACCCTCAGCCGCTTGGTCAATGTACCCCCGCAACTTGATGCCCCCTTGGTCAATGTACCCCCGCAACTTGATGCCCCCCCCCCCCCCCCCCCCGCAAGTCGACCTCTGAAAGTAGACGCCAAAACCTTGGTCGTTTTCCCCTTTTAGGTCGACTTTCTCAACGTCAACGGCAGAACCTTGGTCGACTTCTCCTTAATCGACTTTCCCTTCTTACTCAGTACTCTATATGCCATATTAACATTTTAATGTAATAAATGTACTCAATTAACACTAAAAACTGAGTCTATGTACTTAAGAATGTAAGTGTACTCTATTTCAATTGTGTATTATTTGATGTACTGAATTGACCTTCGGGAAACAATTATCCTGAGTAGACATGCTTAAAACGCGAACATCTCCGAGGCACCTCGAAAAACCATTGCCAACCAGTCGCCACTGTCCACCTCGCGCAATATTTGCTGTTTAAACTTTAAAATCGCTCAATCATTCTGCAATCTTCTTCTTCACGAGAAATGGCAGCTCTGAATCTCTCTCCTTTGTTCAAAACCCTAAACCCCCGATTCTCGCCCTCCCAGAACCCTCCTAAAGCCCCAACATTGCTTTCCCTTTCGAACACTCTTCTTCCCTCTACCCTCCAGTCACCCATCCCCTGCACCCTCAAATCTCAAACCCCATCGAAATTCCATCCGCTGAGAGCCACCGGAAACAGGGACTACTCGGCTAGGAGAAACGACAATGAAGAAAGTGAGAGTATTATGCTTCCTGGATGTGACTACAACCACTGGCTTATTGTGATGGAGTTCCCCAAAGACCCTGCCCCTTCCCGAGAGCAGATGATTGATAGTTACCTCAATACCCTTGCCACTGTTCTTGGAAGGTCAATTTCGTTTGCTCTTGCTTATTCATGATGTTGCTTAGTGCTTATGAGCTTATGGGTTTCCAAGTACTAGTGGAGTGGAATTTGAAATGTTGGCCTGTTACATGGAGCGTTATGTTAATGGGGGATTGGTAACTTTCTCTATCTAGGGAGTATTAGATTGTGATTTAAGGTTTGACATTCTACTAAAAGATTATGTAATCATCCATAATATCCAGGAACTGAGCTTATTACAAGCTCAATGAGAGAAAAATTATCTGAAGAAAAATAGAGTTTGAATTCATTTATAGCCAAGTTTTAGTGCCAACATCTTTTTATACCCTTCTCCAACTACCTGCAGCTGAAAAAATTACAGAACCATAACTTTTCGTGCTAAAAGATAGTGCAATAGTAGCACACTTTCTCAATCTCTTAGCTCAAAGCATGACAGATTATTGATTAACCCCAATGGAAAGGATGCTTCTTGGTGATGGAAGTGATTTTCTGTCATGAAGGTCGACAGCTGATGTGTCTTATCACTCTTATGCTGTTATAGCTTAAGAGTATATTACTCCTGTCTCTGAAGAAACATCTGCAAAGTTCAAGAGTATTTGGGATTTGTATTCTTTTTCTTCTTCGATCTTGAACTTTCCCATAATAGCCGTCTCCAAAAGCCCTTCTCCATTTCATTTCAAGGAAAGAATTGTGTTCTTGGTTTTGATCATTTTCTTTCTTAGTGAATCTCAACCAGTCAATATCACTTTCCTAGTTTGGGTGTAAAAACAAAATAGTAAGAACATCTGTGGATAGAGGGAATACTTCTTTGGTTATTGTTAGGTGGTTATATCTTCTCTTCCATTTGAGTAAACTTGTGTGCCTTCAGTATGGAAGAAGCAAAGAAGAACATGTATGCCTTCAGCACAACTACTTATACAGGATTCCAATGCACTGTGTCTGAAGAAACATCAGAGAAGTTCAAGGGTATTTGGGAGTTGTACTCTTTTTCTTCTTCAATCTTGAACTTTTAGGCTATGTTTGGAACTCACATAATTGTAGGGAAAGGTAAAAAATGTGAAGGAGATTTACCTTGGAAATAAAATTTGATTAAATCCTTAAAATTTATACTCCCTCTGTCCCATTGGACTTTGCCAACTTTCCCTTTTAGGTTGTCCCAAAAAACTTTGCCACTTTCCTATTAAAGCAACTAATTTGTGGTTCTGCAGTTTCTCTCCCCTCTGCAAATTTCTTACTTCTCATCTACTTTGCACTTGGCAAAGTCCACCGGGATGGAGGGAATAATATATTACGGAGTATATTATATATGAATATACATATGTATATGTTTATGTGCATATAATCATTATGTAACAGTAATACTTAAACAAAAACGAGTTTGAACAAATCTTGATTCAGATTTTAAATCTTCACTGCTATTTCTGCTCCTTCCAAGCCACCCAAAATTTGTGGGTTCCAAACCACCCTAAATGAAGTTTAATTACAGAGTGTCCGTTCCTGAATTTCCAGGTTCAGATTTAATTGCTGATTGGTTTCCCTTGGCTTATTGTTTTGTAGGATTGCCTGGAGTGTTGTGGGTTTTACCTGATTCTTACATAGATGTCAAAAACAAGGACTATGGAGGTTGTTTCATCTTTAAAAATCACATTGCTATTCACTCTCTTTTATTAGATTCAAAATTCTTATGCGTTGATCACACATAAATAATAAGCTGTGGTGCATTGTTTTTCAGGGGATAAGTACGTCAATGGAGAGATAATTCCTTGCCAGTACCCTACATACCAATCAAAGCAGTCCAATCGCTCAAAGAACAAGAGTAAAGCATATGTGAGAAGAAGAGACGGCCCTCCTCCAAGGCAGACACAGGAAGCCACTTCCCCTGACTCTTCCTCGTAGAAACGTGGTTGAGTGGTCTCTCATTCTCTAGTGTCTAGTTTGGTCAGAGGTAATGAAATAAAATTTAATCAATTTTTTAATTTAAGTTTACATTACATGTGAATTTGATTATATTTCATTACGTCTTTTTACCAAAGTTGACCTAAATGTATAATATTTTGACATCTCTGTTTCACTTTAAGAAAACTTTCTTTCGGTGTTATTAAATCCTAAAAAATCCGTTATATTCATCAAACCCTACTTTCTTTGCAGGTTTATTTAGATAAGAGGTGCATGGCGTTTTTAGAAAATGTCAAGTAGGTTAGTTGTTTACAAAGATGTATTAGTGGTTGGAATTCTAATGTATTAATGTTATCCAATCTTCTATGAACACCAGCTTGCTACTTTCACAGTGAAATTGGAAAGTAAAATGCTGTTTATGTGTCCAAGTGAGAGAGTCCTTTTATTGATTAAGAAACACTATGATAGCTATTAACATGAACAGAGATTATCAACAATACTCCACCCACTATTTTTGTTCCATTTTCATTTTGGTTCATCCTAATAAATTTGTTCACACCATATCTGGTCATATTTGTGTAGTTCAAAATCTTTCATACTTCACAAAGTTAATATTAAGATAACAATAATGCTTTTCTTTAGTTTGCCAGTACTCGGTGATGAGGTGTTATTAGTGGGTGAAATGGCTTTTTTTTTAAATGCTGGAGTAGTATTTGAATGAACTCTTAGTTTGAGATCCCGGAATGTATTTTACTAGACACAATCTTGGTCTAGTTAAGGTAGAATGAAACATACCAAATCATCAAATTTATAAAACAAATTTGATCTCCAATATCTTCTATAGGACATGAGTAGCAATACAAGTTGTTAGTTTGCAACTAATAATAGTACAAATATCAGCAGTGCTAACCTCCATCAATGCCACCTTCATCGAAGGTTCTTAGGCTAGACTTTGCTTCTTCTGCCACCCTATATTAAAGTATGAGTAACAATTCACTGCTAGAAAACTACATAACTGCAGTTCTTCGATACATTTTATCTTTAACTTTCGTGTTTCAAATTTAGTGAAGTTAGTTGTAAAACAATAATTTGCCGTGTACTAATAGAGTAATAGTTATTTGTAATTCTATTTAATTACTCCCATTGTTCTAATAAATAGTACTACGTAGTTGATAATTTAACAACGGTTTAAACAATACGTAGTTGATAATTGAACACGGTTTAAACAATACGTAGTGTATGGTGCCATAAGTCTATACTTAATATTTCTGTATTTTATTCAATTTAGTGTACTGTTTTGTGCACACTTGTTATGGTTTTTTTGCTCATTTTGTAATGTTACCCCAATCTACACTTCTTCTAAATACTATGCAAATTATAATACGACATAAAACTAATTTCAACACTTACATGATAAATTGATTAATACCTAAATAAATAAAATTAGCTATTTTTACTCGTAATCAATAGTTTGAAAAATATACGAGTAATAACGAACCTAGCAAGAAGTCAACTTAGGGAGTGTTTGTTTCTAATTTTTTAAAAGTAATTCTTCTAAAAGTTATATGAAAAGTGATTAATAGTAAAGGCTGATAGTTTTTTTAAAAGAAAAGTAGTTTTGAAAAGTAAAAGTTAGAATGTTTGCTGAAATAGTGTTTTTTTTGTGTAATAAAAAAATGAAAACCATTTAAAAACATCACTCTCTCTGGTAAAATAAGTAGAAGTTGATGTTTTTTTATTTGAAATAAGTAGAAGTTGATGTTTAAAAATTCATTCTAGTTTTTTTCTACCAAAAAAGCCCTTGCGAACACTCCCTTATTTTAGAACACAAGCTCATTATTCATAATTTTCATAGTACTTATTGACATGTTTTTTTTTACAAATGAAAGGTGCGTTCCTTTAAATAATTGAGATTGTGAGACACGTCTTTTCTGATGTAGCATTAAAGGTATTCTCCGTCCTATAAAATTTGGCCAAGTTTAATATACACGTCGAATAATAAAATAAAAACTATCTGATTGAGATTAGTGCAGATGAAAGAGAAATAGATTTAACCACCTATTTTAACTAGGGATGGACTGGGCCCTAGCGGCCTGACTCGGGACTGACCCAGGACCGGTACTGTTTGTACCAGCTCGAGACCGATACTGTTTGTATTGGCTCGAGATCGGTACTGTTTGTACTTGCTCGGGATCGGTACTATTTGTACTGGTTCGGGACCGATTTTCCAGGCCGGTATCGGACCATTACCCAAGCCGGTTGGTTATAAGAGGCAGGCTTTGGGCTTGATTTTTAGGACCCGACCCGGCTTGTCCCAGGCCCGAACGGCTATTTTTTAAAAAATAAATAAATGGGGTGGGTACCGAACCAGGCCGGATACTGTTTGGACCTGAACCGGAACCGGAGCAAACCGAGTCGGTATCAGACTTCACTTTTTTAAAACCGCGATCGGCTGGGCCCGGGCTCGGCACTGACCCGAGTCCACCCTAATTTTAACCACCTATTCATTGCATTGTGGGACAAAGTGAGTACTAATTTCCTCCCTTTTTATATAGTCAAAATGATGGTAAACTTTGAAACATAGTATATTGTTGTGAAACATATACTCCTTAAGTTTCATACTTCTATGATATGATAGTATATTTAACAAAAGAGATTTTCACATTATAAATATTTCGTATATCAATAGCAAAAATAGTTTTATTAAGCAAATTCCGCCAATTCAATCATAAACTAAAAAGAAGTTCAGTTGATTTTGAGCAGGATCAGAATTTCTTCTCACATCATCTAGTAGGAAGAACAGGAGTAAGAACAGCTTGGATGTTGAAAGACTCAACAAGTGAAATGACTTCTTCTTAACCAAAAAAAACCTTCTTCTTTACCAGTACCCACAAACAGCTTCAAAATCTTCTCATTGAGTTTTCCGGCTCTCAGTGTTTTCAGGAAGAGTTCAGCGAGGATGTGATCGGGCAAGCATGATAAAAGAAGTTGATAGATAAGACTCATAAAGTCATGAGTAGAGAACAAGTGATAGCACATCTTAATCACGTTTCTTCCCAACTTCAATAGCAACTACGTAGTACTATTTTAGCCCCAAATTATTTTACAAAGTCAATATTTTTTTGACAATCAATCATAAAACTGAATTCTCCCTATTATATTGATAATAAATTCAGTTCTAATAATTTTAATTTACATATTCAGAAACTACATTAAAATCTCTATAAATTTGTGAATCCAAATTAAAATTTAATTAAGAATCAATATCTTAATTAAGTGAATAAATTGAATTTGTTTAACTCAAAAAATTAATTTCGCAACTCAATTGGTGACAGAGGGAGTTATGTCCAAGTGCACGAGTCGGGTCTCTTACAAATGAGGCCCGATTTTTATTTTCCAAAGTTTAATGTATGATGCACGTGTTTCTCAATTTGTTTTGGGGAATTCTATTCACAGCCACGTTTTTACTAAATACAGGCACATAATTTTTATAATTCCTATTTTATCCTTAGTAATACCCAACTTCATACAACCTTCCTGTGTAATCTGTGTATTGCAAAGGACATAAGAGATTCTTCATACAGAGGATTCAGAAGGTGGGGAGTATGGAAGACTTGGAGGAGCTCCTCCTACATACTCCATAGAAGTTCCAATATCAAAATAAATGATCAGAAAGGGAAATTTGTTTGCTTGATTAGCCGGCAAAGCCATCGTGCACACCAAGTCCAAAAATTAAAAATACGGATTTAGATTGTGTCTTGATAAGGTTGACCACGCCCTAAAATTTTCAGATCCATTTTTCACTTCTGCCACGTTGGTGTTCTACACTTCTACTCCTACAACCAAGAACATCTTGTTTTAGATTCCAATGATTTCAGAAACACTGGTTTCAATTTCACCTCCCCTATCTTTCAGATTCACATTAGTTTCAATCAAGTTAAATAAAAAGGCTAAAGGGTCAAATAGGCCCTTGAACTGACTTAAAGTGTTTAATTAGCCCCTTATATAGGAGGTTTTGCCCGGCCGTCACCAATTGGGGCGGTTCCCGGTGGAATTTTTTGATGACATTTTTTGAGCATTTTCTTCATTAAGTCTAGTTTACTCATACCAAATTTCAGATACAATATCAACTGGGAAGGCAGTCAAATGATTTTTTGAAAATAACTACGAAGTTAAACAGCGCAGTACATTTCGGAAAATCATTTGACTGCCTTCCCGATTGAATTTTTAGCTGAAATTTGGTATGGGTAAACTAGACTTAATGAAGAAGATGCTCAAAAGATCTCATCAAAAAATTCCTCCGGGAACAGCCCCAATTAGCGACAACCGGGCAGAACCTCGTATATAAGGGGCTAATTGAACACTTTAAGTCAGTTAAAGAGCCTATTTGACCCTTTAGCCTAAAAAAATTAAACGAGGAACCAGTTAAAACATTGAAATCAGAAAAACTAATGGCCTAAGATTTACGTGTTTGAAATCTAACGAGTTTTAGAGCTTTGAGAGTGTCAGGCTGTAGCGACGTTGGACCTTTCCGTAGAATAATGTTTGAAATCTCTATTATAAGAGGAGATTTTGCCACTCAGCGGAGACTAAGAAAATCTTTGAGCGGACGTCGTTGGAATACACACGTGATTTGGGATCCCGTGATTTGCCTACAGGGAGCTGTATCAAATTGGGTATTAAGGATATAATAGGAACTATGAAATTATGTGGCTGTATTTAGTAAAAAGGTGGCTGTGAATAGAATTCCCTTTGTTTTAGTTTATAAATTAGATTTATGTTTTGACCCACTTTTTGAGTTTTTCTCTATTCAAATTCCATACGAGGTCATTGAATTTTAATTTATTGACCTACGAGTTTAAATCCACTTTATTTTTCTCAATTTTATTAATTAGATTTATGTTTTGACCCACTTTTTTCTCAATTTTGGAATGAGTAAGCAAAAAAAGGGTAATGGTAAATGGTAAGGCTATATATGCATGGGTAGAGCAGATGAGAGGGACAAACATGGCTCATGAATGGCTTTACAAAGGCTTTGATGTATGAACTGTACATTATTCACTCAAGGAGGCAAAAAGTCTTTTTAACACTACGTTACTTTGATTGTTTTCATAAACAATCAATGAGTAGCATGATCGATGATATGGGCTTTCTTGCCTTCACTTTGCTCCCATGCATTACGTACAAATGTTACAGATCATATCCATACATTGCATAGAGGACCACTTCTTAATTTCTTCCTTCTTTCATTGATGTACAATGGGAAGTGTGCATATTAACAGTTATTATTACTCATCAATCATCATCATCATAACAATTAAACTTGTAATTTTGTTACATATACTCCGTATTTCACAAGCACTCAACATTTCAACCTCATTATTTATATTCAATAGTACAATATTGGAGTACTTATTAGATGAAAACATTATACAAATTTCCTTGTGCTCCAAAATTATCTTCACATTTCTTTTAAGAAAAATATTTCATGGTCAATATG